ATTATTTCTAATATCTTCAAGGATAGATAAAGAACATTTGCGCTGACACTTAACATCATAGCAATGGCATATATTGATTTGTAGCAAATTCATCATATGCCTCCAGTGTAGCTGATCCTCTAATCTTTTTGGTCTATTTAGGGATTGAGACATTCCAAATAATAATGCAGGATATGTTACTCTTGTGCATTTATGTGAAAATTCCTGAATGTTGCTTCTAACATCTATTGCATGTTCAATTAACATATTTTTATTATATGCCTGAGAAAATTCTGGAAGCATCCTGTTGGAGGCAGCAAACAACAAAACAACTCTCCAAATACAGTAATAGTTTATTTCTTGTAATGTATTTGGAATGCATTTCAGTACTATTGTAATAGCAGTGGAATAGAATTTAACTAAAATATTAATGTTTCGATTGTACTTAGTTAGACCAAGATTAAACTCTTTACAACACTTCACAACACAATCCTATTTATGTTTATTGAAAAGTGAATCCATTGCATTCAATTAATACAACTTGTAGGCAACTGAGTCAAACTCAGTTCTTACTGAGGTCCAAGGGATTCACAATGAGATTATCCCAATATTTTCACATATAAATTTAGTTAATTTAATATAGGTCAAACCCAAGGAAATAAATTTAAGAAATTTTGCATCATTTCTTGGCATATTGTTTACTTATTTAGTGCCATCAAGTCAATTTTTATTCCTGGCAACTACATGAACTTGGCATGTTTTCCTGGCAACTTTTTCAGAAGTGGTTTGCCTTTGCTTTCTTCTTTGGACTGAGAAAGAGTAGCTTTGCACTAAGGCAAGACTAGATCTAACATTCTCCTGGTTTTTGATCCAGTGTTTTTAATCAGTACATCAAACTGGCTTTCGTACCATATTTGGGCTGCAAACTTTCAGACAGCCATTAGATGCAGGAAAGATTTTTTGCATCCCTATCCTAGGCCATCGTGGCCATCTAGATTTCTGCAATTAAGCAAGTCCCACAACATTAGCAGTGGGTAAAAGCTAGCTAATTTATTTCTGGCTCAGTTTATAATGCATTTGAAACTGCACTAAAATTTATTAGTGTTTATTTAGCATATGATGAGAACATGACAGAAGAAATGTAAACATACGCACCCAAATTAACTGCATTGAAATTAGTATTTCCTTTTGCAAACTTTTAAAATGCAGCGCTTCTGAGCAATTTTTCACTGGCAGGAATAACTTCACCTTATGGTTCTTGAACTCAAGACTGCCATTAATTTCTGTTCCTGTACAATATTTTTCAATCTTGGCAACTTTAAGAAGCATGGCCTTCAAGTTCCAGAATCTCCAATGAAATTTGAACATCTTAAAGTTGCCAAGTTTGAGACACACTGCCAAAGAAGCTATAAGAACACTTCAACTGACAACATATTCTAGGAAACAATGTCACTCAACAAGAAATAAACGAACCTAAACATCTGCCTCGTGTTTTCCTGCCACTCACTTCTAAGGAAGGGGGGGCATTGGCAATGGAATGTCTTTCCTTTAGGGTAGTGCTATCAAACCCACATCGTCACAGTGTCATGTGACATATCATGACTTTTTCCCCTTCCCTAAACTGGGTGTGGGTGTAGCCAGCGTGTTTGACAGCCCTGCTTTAGGGAATTATTGTTACAGTACTCAGGGAGAGAATGTTGATTTCATGCAATTTCTCATATTCTTCCAGAAATGCAACTGGCTTTTTTATTCAATATTTTCAACCTGGGTTTGTTTCAAGTTGCTTCTGCAGAACTGGAGAAATTAAAACAGAAACCCAACATGCTGGCTGGGGAATTCTGGAAGTCCACACATATTAAAGTTGCTGAGGTTGAGAAACTCTGTTCTAATGTCTCTAGGAACACATTTATCTAATAAATGTTAAGTAAATAGCTTGCCCTGCAAAGATTTATCATAGAAATCACCCTTTCTGTCTAGAAGACTTGTCTTGTGTATATTTGGTCCTGTGATAGTGGGGGACAAAAAGGTAAAAACTGCATTTAAGGGAAGAGCCATTCCTGCTTTTCTCAAGTTGTCATCTTAGATTGAAAGCACATTTTGAAGATTAAGTCTGATATAGTCTGGTGCTTTCATGAAATTGGACATCTCTCTTTAATGTACTTCCCCAGCCTCAGATCAGTCATCAGCCAGCAACAACTCCTACTTCATACGGAAGAGTCCAGGGTTCTGCTAAATTTAGTCTAATTCAGTTAGATGGCATTATTTCCAGGTTTGGTCATCTGAGCTGCTTGTACCGTCTGGCAGATTTTCTAACAGTTCAGATTATCTGAATATCCCTCTTCTATATTCCCCTATATAGGTCGGTATGAAATAACATTCTGCTTTGGAGAAGACAGATTGGACCAATAACTTGTAGTCCAAGGCCAAAGAAAGAGCTGGGGATGGGGAGAGGCAATTTGCTGACTTCTTACAATACACAGCTGATTTCAATGCAGAAAAAATAGGTCACTGGTGAAATGCAGCTAGAATCCAGTGGAAAAAAGATAGAAAAAAAAAGTCTTCCATTGGGTGCAAAATCGTCTGTGGTATGCACTGGAAAAAAAAACAGCTTTAATCTTGCTTGCAGCACCAGAGAATTACACAGGCAGGACATGGGGACTCTGATCTGCCTTGTTATTTTAAGCAAGCAAGTCCTCCATTGTTCCAATTCATCTCTTACTTCCATTCCCACACACTAAAATAACTTGTAGCTCATGCTCATGTTAAAATCTGAATCTATGCCAGGTTTGATTCTTTAAAGAAAAAAGAATCCATTGGGCTGTATGTTGCTGACACCACTTTCATTTATGGGCTTCTATTGAAAGGAGTCCTAGGGCAGTCTAGTCAGAATCAGATTTATTTAGCTAAATAAAAATAGCAAGCTCCTGCTGGTTTTTTTCTGCACAGCAAAACAATTCATTTCCTGTTCAATTAATCTCACGCTTCTTGTTAAGCAAACCTGGGGCTTTCCAGATTTTGGAAGAAATAGTTTTAATAAGTACCAACTCCATAGTCAACAAGCATGAGTTATGGGGGTTGTGGTCCCAAATATCTGGAGGACGCTGGGTGCTTACATCTGCTGTAAACACTTGCCCAGGCTTGTCAACCAGAATAGATGTTCAAGATAGAAACATCAAAGTATAGGATTGCAGACTGCTGATTACTTTGGCAAGGGAATATCATATTATTATCCAGTCCCATTATAGCATGCAATCTGTCAAGCAGATCCATGATCCTTATTCTCCCATACTCCTCAAGAAGGAGTGACTGTGTTTTCTATTAATAACATTTTTAACTAAGAATTAAATTAAGCTTCACCCGGCACAGGAAAATATAATTTAAGTACAGCAAAGGTTGTACTAGGCTGAAAATTAGGTATTTGGATGTGGTTGTTCAATATCTCAGCAGCATTGCTGGTTTGTGGTCTCATAGTCCTGGTAGGAAACTTTACTTATAGATAAAATCTACATGTGCTACTTTTTTAACATGCATGAATACACATGCACAAAGAACTCTTCTGAAGTATCCTCTTGTGCATCTATCTACCAACAGATTCATCATAAATCAGAAGTGAACTTGAGTCAAGAAAAAGCACATAATGAGTTTTAATCTTTAAAGCAGCACAACAGGAATCCTCAAACAGAATTGTGATATTGCAGAAGATCATGAGCAATTTAGAGAATGATTGCAGCAGTTTTATAAACCTGATCAGGCTTGCATACACAAAGTTTGAGCTTTTATTGTGCAATTTGCAAAGAGAGAGAATCTTTAGAAGATACAGATCAACACTGAATTCCTGAAAGAAATGCTATGTTAATTTCTTGGCCAACATTATAAAACTATAAGATTCCAATTCAGCTGGTGTTCAGGAAGGTACTTAAAACCTTCTGTCCTTAAAGGCTGAGTTAAGTGTAATACAACAGGACCCTGAAGTACAGTATATATATTTCTTTACAGCAGAGTTACTCTTTAATATTTGACATTTTACTATTTTATTCTTTTTATAAGCTGCTTGGAGATGTCAACAGGTAGGCAGCCTTAGATATTAAGTAATAAAAATCCCAGTGAAATGGTTAGTTTATTCTAGGTGTGCGAGTTGCATAATTTCATTATTTTAAGGGGTCACAGGTTTGAGAAGTTTTGCAATACAAGATTCCTTATGTGTTTTTTCTCCTCCAATAATAGTACTCTTGAAATCCCAATTCTTCATTTTATGCTGCTGTTAAGAGTACCAAGGATATGAAGATAACACTAATGGAGTACCCTAATGAGAAAACTGGAATGGAAACAAAACCACCACATATTATTCTTTACTCCACCTGGAACAGTCTGTCCTAACTAGAAGTTAGTAGAGGAGAGTTTGTTCCATATTTTTTCCACCTGCAGGTCAACAACTGATTACATCTGCTTTTGCTGCTATCCTCAGCATATGCTACAGTTAAAGCAACTGTAGGTTTGGATTTATATATGTTTAACAGAGTGATTGAAATAGAAGAACTGGATGAGTCCAGAGTTAATTAACCAACTGCACAGGTTAATTGCAAAGAGATGGGGCAGAGTTACTAGATAAAGAAGCAAATTGCCAGTAATTACAATAGACATTTTATTACTCATTTTGGAATTTCAACATGATGAAATTATGACAAGTGTGGAAGCAGACACTCCAAGGGTCATGGAAGTGGTTTAATAGACATTCTCTTCCCAAACGCCAGGTGCTTCAGAATGCTGTGAATTTAAAGAACATTTCACAACACTTTAAAATATAAGCATTCACAATTATAAGCCTTGAGGTGACACAATATTATATAACCCTTAACCAGTTTATACTAATCACACACACACACAAACTAGGGAGATTGGAACCATATCTACTCTGTATCTTCAGCTCGAGGATAATTGTTTTTGTCATCAAGATAAGGCAGGCTCTTGAAGCAGCACAGAAATTGCATTTCTACTATTTGGTGCAGTTTTTTGTAGCAGTGCAATTGCAGCTGTTTACCCTTGAAGTGTAGTAACAAATGCCCTCACTTGAAACAATTGCACAGTTCACAAAACAACCAGGCTATTATGATACCTGAAACAGAAAATCCAATAAGTATTCTTCATTTCTGGAAACAAAAACAAAATGTACTGAATCAAAATGTAATAAGGATAGAGTCAATGAATCCATAAAACTTAAATGGACCATGGAGGATTTAGAATCCATTGATTCCAGTTGATCTATACTGTGGATCCAACCACTAAGAATTAATAATTATATGTCATGATAAGAGTCAGTTTGGAATAGTGTTTAAGGCATCAGGCTAGAAACTGGAAGACTGAACTCTAGTCCCATACTACAGTAGGCACAAAGCCAACTTCGTGACTAAGGGCTAGGATTAGGAAAAAGGCAATGGAAATCTACTTCTGAAAAACCTTGTCCAGAAAATTGCAAGGATTTATCCAGAAGTCCTGGAGAGTTGGACACAAATGAATGGAAGAAAAGAAAGGTGTTATTACCTGTATTTACTTGAAGGTAAGCTCATTATCTTCAGTGATTATCACTATTGAGAAAACATATCCTAAAAATGCATGGTGTGTGGCTAATGTACATTGCTGTTTTTATTAATGTAACTGCCATTAGCCCATCTGCCAAATTATCTATTTTATTATTTTGTTTTATTTAGTTTTGGAGTTACTATCTCACCATGGGGATTCAGAGTAACATAGATCATATCATTTTCATTGGAATTGTTGAAATCACAATAATTCCTCTTTAGCTGATGAAACAGCCAAATTGTGGCTTCTTAATACATGCTAAAATTAATATCTTGGGCTTATTTTTTTACTAGAAGTAAAACCAGATTTGTCCTTTTTCTGAAAAGAAATAATTTTGTAATGAAGTTTAGTGCTGAAAAGGACACACTCCTCTCACTCTTGTCAAAAGTCTCATGAGCAGATAACATCCATTAAGTGGCACCTTCCAAATTTCTGAAGGGCTTAAATATTTAGAGCAATAGTTTTGAATTTCTGGAAACAATGTCCAAAAATAAATTGGGAGCCCTTGTGCATCTGCCCCCCTCAAATCCTGGTTGCAATGTGAACAATGGATAGGAGGATGAAAACAGATCCCCAGCTGTCCCTGACCCAAGCAAGTAGCATATTAGCATACTTACTGCACTGCTTCATTCATATACCTTTACTGGATGTGGGAGTGTCCAGATATCATGTTCCTTTTGTAATGTTCTCAAGTTCTCCCTCATCTTTTTTCCCCCTCATCACAAAAATCTTAAGAAGGGAACAGAATAACAGCAGAATGCACTGTGACTGCTCATGCTGGAAGCAATGCACCTGTCTTTGAGGCAGTGAAAGCAAGTTATATTTTTTCCTCTACCCATTTTAAGTTATGGTGTAACCTGAAGGAATATCATGGACCATCGTATATGAAGGAACCTAAAGAAAGTAACACAGAAGCATAGATAATAATTAGGTGGAAAATTGCTTGGCGAAGCAACTGAATAAACTCTTGTTCCAATTAATCAACCTAGAAGACCTTTGTGAGAACAAAACTGCATCAAAGAGGTCTTTCAGTTTTAAAAGATGTGAATGGGGAAGGGATCAAAAAAAATCAAGGCAGCATATGTGATTGTGGGATTGAAGCCCTTTACTCTTTTTTTTAACCACACACCTTCCAGAGGCACCTGCTTTGACCTATTATTTCCATTTCAGGTATAAACTACACATTCAGTTCTACATAAACAATTTGAAACTTCCCCTTGGACATAGTCAGAGACCCACTTTCCGAGAATCCTTAGGTTTATTTTGTCTGTAAACTCAACACATATATAAATACAATGTTTGTGTATTTTCCCAACTTTTGAAGAATGAGAGAAAAATAAACAGTTGCTCAAGATAAGAAATAGGAAATGAAAAGAGCTCATTTAACTTGTAACTATTCCCATAATTTGCCGCAGGGATTCATTGGGAAGTGAATTGTTGCCTTTGAAAGCTCAGCTGAATCCTAGTGTGAAATTATAGTTACAGTCTTAAGTAAGGAGCTGTTGAATCTTTACCTGTCTGCACTAATATTAACTGCAATTGGAAAGAATTGCTGAGTTTTTAAAGGCAGACTGCTCTGCTAATGTACATCATGGGATATCCCTTTCCAAGTAAGATGTCACAGTAAGGTGACATGAACACCAGGCCCTCTTTCTATTATAATATTTACTAGGAATAACAATGTTGTTACTGTCTCAGAAATAGTTATTGAATTGGCTACTACCATTATCAGTTTCCATTTCTCCTTTTTTAATATGTCATCCTCAGTGCAACAAACTCTGCAATTTTTTTAAATCCAAATTATTTTTGTGAACATTCTCCAAGCACATGTATCTGGCCTGCTTATCTTCATTTCTATAAATGTTTGCTGTTTTTTCATGAATATAAGCTTTAAAAAACAGTTTCCTCTAATTGTTGTTAATCTAAATGGCATAAATCTGAAATCTATATATATCACAATTTCAACTCACGCACACATAATGATCTAAGTTCCTCTTTAAATGCAAAACAAATTCTCCCCCATCTATTTCTCAGCACTGATCTAAAGAGACCAGTGCTGAGAAGTGTTAATTTTGCTAGCAGCAACTCAAGATTTGAGACTCAGGCATTCCAGGCCAACTACCTGAGCTTTTTTTTTTTCCTTTTCTTTTCAGAAAGACACTAGGGATTTTTTGCCAGCAAAACATTTGTTCCCTCCTGAGTGACTGGTCCTCACTGCAAACAAGTTACTTCCAAACAGAAGTAACATAGATTGTTTATGCAACTGTTTCCAGGGTTAGTTGTTGCCCAAGCTCTTTGCCCATTAAAGATGAAAGCTAAACAATGCTGTTCCTTCTTCCATTTGTACCCCTCCAAATCCATTGGCTTTTAGATACAGTCATTTCTTTTTCTAGCTGGGCTTTTATTTTCCACAGCAAAAATGAAAAAGATGTGTAGCTTATGATGAATTGTTGGACTTGGGACTTCAATTCAGCTCCTTTCAGGCAATACAAGCTAATTATATGGGTGAAGCATAGGCATAAAATATGAACCAGCCATTATGTGCTACAATTTTTCCAATTGATTAGTGATACAGAATCTATAAATTCACACCAACAACTTTGAGAAGACCCTAAACCTTACAGAGCATATCCTTTTCATGAAGTTTTCTGGTTCATTATAGACATCTTCAGGGGGGGGGGGGGGAATCAGAGTCCCAGTGGAAATTATCTCTCTTCAAGATCATGGAAGGCTAATCAAGAACACAATTCAAAAGAGCCAAAGAGATAAGTGTGATGAACCTTTTTATTGCTTTTGAATGGAAGACAGCAGTTCCCTGTGCCTTTAACTATCTTTATAAAACTGTGCCATTACTTTCCTATTGTATTAGTCTATGGTAGAAAATCAGGTGGAGCCTGTTAGCACTTTGCCTGACTAACAAAAGTTTATGCCTTAAAATAAAACTTTAACACACTTTAGAAAAGATGCTACTAGATCCCATAAGATTTAGTTATTAATTACTCAGTAAACCCACACAACTGTTTTTTTTAAAAAAAAAAAACTTGAACAGCATGTTATTATTAAATGCCATTAAAAAAACTAATGCAGGGAGATACATATGATATGTATTATATAGATATATTCTTGCATGTTATGTTATGTCCTCCTTTCCTAGGTAAAAAAAAATCTTACTGAAATAAGGAGGAGAAAAACACCTGGGTTCGGGGAAAAATTTGATGATTGTGGACAGTATCTGATATGGCTATTCTGCCTTAGGAAAAATAAGACACTAACATTCTGCAGGTCAGAAGCAGACAAATGTTATGGAGATAACCAATCTTGTAAATTTATATTTTGGCCCTGCTGGCTTCATGGCATCAAATAAAATGTTTGTAAATATTTTGACATTCTTCTATCCTAATATGCAATTACTCCCTATTGATCAATATTCTATATCAATGCAAAAGTTGAATGCAGGTGCTGTTATCATTTGTTACCAAAATATTTATTTTACCCGATGGCAGACCAAGGTAGGGTGGAAGGAGAAATCTGCTTCAATGCAGGCAAAAAGAGGGGTGGGTGGGGGTCCAGTGCAAAAGATGAGGAGGCTAATGCCAATTTATTTTAATTATTTTTTTTATCCTACTTTTATTTTTATAAATAACCCAAGATGACAATTATATCTAATACTCTTCTCCCCTTATAAAGTGAGTTGGCCTGCGAGAGTGTGTCTTGCCCAAAATCACCCAGCTGGCTTTCATGCCTAAGGCAGGACTAGAACTCACAGTCTCCTGGTGTCCAGTGGTGCCATAATCACTAGATCAACATAGAGTCAGGTTGCTGCTGTCCAGTGCTGACCAGTTTTTTGGCAGTTGGTGGCACAGAACCAGCAGAGGAAAGTACTTGCCTTTTCAAGTTACTTTTGCCAACTGGCAACTGCCTCCTACAGGTGTTTTTTTTTAAATCTTAACCTCTACCCCAAACTGAATGAGATTGGCGTTTAAATGATCTGCTCAACCTCATTGAGAGTTTAAATTTTTAATTCTTTTTCTTTTATTCCTGAATATTTTTAGCTTCTGTAGTCACTTTCTCTTTCCTTACTTATTTTATACATTTTGTTTTCAGAATATTGATTAGTTTTCTGTTTATAGAAGTCAACCCTGTTTAGCCTGTATATGTAGTTAATTAAAGGGATAAATTAAAGGTAATAAATATGGTATATCAAATGCTCCTGCCTTTGGAGGGTTAGGATTGGGGTTACTTACTTTACTTACCCCGAGACTAAGTTATTCTGCCTGCCTGTAAAGATCTGGGTTTCTTTTTCTAACTATTAAAGTGTGAGAGTGGGTGACCTGCTGGGTGTTCTTTTTCTTTCAACACTTATGTGTAGTTATGTGTCATTTTGCATTGAAGTTTTCTATATTTTCTTCATTAAGTGGTCCTTATTGATTTTTACTTTGCTGAATCTAATAATAGTAATTAAAAATGATTCCACTCCATTAAAAATGTATGCCACTGACTCCATCCTTTATGATTATTCAGAGGAGGCTTCACAAAATGCCTATTGTAATAATAGCGATATTAGCACACTAAAAAAAAAAAGACACACACACACACACACACTAAAAGAAGAAAACCCTAAGACGGTCCCCAACCTTTGCGGTTTGGCAGCCCGGCTGTGGGGGTGGGTGGGAGGAGAGGGGAACTGGAGTGTGCAAACATTGTGTCTGCATGCACATGTGTGCATTGCCACTCACAGCAGCAGGCAGACAGATATGCACCGCCAAAGCTCAAATGCCAGTGGACCTGTACAAACTTGCATGTGTGTGCCAGTTGGCTGCTCATGCGAGTGGAGCTGCACTTGCACACTGTCCCATCTCTCACACAGCCAGTTCCAAATAGGCCATGGCCCAGTAGTGGGCCACGGCCCAGGGATTGGGAACTCCTGCCCTAAGAAACATTACACCTATATGAAAAGGTGAAATGATCTAGTAGGAGCATTACATCTCCCCCCCATCTTATGCCAGCTTCCTGGCAGGTGTGTGTGTACATGTACAGGTGCATGTTCATGTTTCCAAGTGAATATTGACTACTGGTGACTGCCTGGACAAGTCCCTGCAGTTTTTTTGGCAAGACTTCTGAATTCTGAAATATGACATAATATATATGCATAACTGTAATTAATACAAATGTTAATTAAAATGTTAATATAAAACATATACTAACCTAGGAACTACTATTATTAACGAGAACAGAGTGGATAAGCAGATTCTGCAGTAACCAGCTAGCCAAATAAATTGGTCTTTAAATCTGTCTTGAAAGCCTTCAAGCTATCAAAAAGGAGGGGGGGAAAGGTGATTCTACAGTTGTGGGTCAAATCTCTGAAGGCCAGATATCTGGAAATTGTGACCTGGGAATGTGAAACAGAAAAAAAAGTCCTGCCCAGAAGAACATAAGGAACAAGCATGATGTACGAGCAAAAATGGCTTCTCAGTCCTGTGGTAGGCAGATGGTTCAAGTTCCAGGACTATCATCTGTACTCTTGCTCAGATAGAGAACCAGGGTAGAATTCAGTCGTGTAACAAAACATGAGAGTCACAAGGCAGGTCCAGAACAATAATAGGAAACCATTGCAGAAACCCAGACATGAGATAAATCAATAATGATTTTAGTAAAATTACAATCTCCCCAATATGAGCCCCATAGTTCCCATGAATCCTATTTAGCCAGAAACACTAGTTCTGATCTCTCAGAGGTATTGCCATAATATAGGGCAGGGTGGACATAGGAATCAAAGCCATTGTGTCATCATGCACTGATGGGAATCTGGAAAAAGGCCAAGACTGCCAAATATAGGGTAAAATAAATTATTTTATGTTCAACATGTAGATTATTTCCTGTAGTTAAATGCCACTTTTTCTCAAAGATTGTTAAAATATGGTTGCCTATGGGCCAGAGAATCTCACCAGGCTCAAGGTTGATTCTGCCTTCCATCCTTCCGCGATGGATAAAACGAGGACCCAGATTGTTGGATGCAATATGCTGACTTTATAAACTGCTTAGAGAGAGGGCTGTAAAGCACTGTGAAGCAGTATATAAATCTAAGTGCTATTGCTATTTGAGATCTGAGGCTGAGGAATAGGAACAATGATGAAATGGTGCACCGTTGAAGATATTGTTCTTTTGTTAAAAACAAAACCACAGGGAAGATTAGGAAGTTCAGCTCAAGAAAAATAATACTGTAATAATTTTAAAAATCTACTTGGTTTTGAAGCAGCAATCTTTTATTTAAAACATCAGTGATAACTAATGTGCTTTTGCAGCATTCTTGATAAAGGTAACTCTGCTGGCTGGGAATTCTGGGAGTTGAAGTCAACACGGCTTAAACTTGCCAAGTTTGAAAAAACACTGCCATAAATGGTATCAGTGGCTATGGTTATCATTGATTCAGGTGAGGAGGAATTCCATGGAGCAGCTGCTGAACTGCTGGAGTTAGCCTACTACATCTAACTGAGCATGCTATCTGAAATGTACAAGAGTTCTTGAAGTGTCCTAACATGGAAAAGTTGCTTTAATGGAGAAAGAGGAATAATGGAGGCAATGACATCTGCTTCTGCCCTTCAAAAACAGTTTCTGACCTATTTTAATGACAGACAACTTGGGAATGCAATAAACCTTTGGACTTGCAGCTTTGTCAATGATGTTTTATTGTTCCATGAGCATCTGATTTCTATCAAGGACTGTAGGAAGTGAAGTGTCATTAGTTCTTGCATGCTTCTAGTTGCAGTGTTACTCTTAGCCTAAATTAAGCTACATCTGTAGACAAAAATCATTGTACGTATAAATATTTCTTTCTTAATTATTATCATAAATGTAACTATCTGGTATTTTCAGAATTATTGTCCACCCTGTTCAGTGCAAATATAACTTCAGATCAAGAAACGTAGTAGCCATTTTTTTTACATGTGATAGAGCAACTCACCATAAATAAACTAACTGAATTAATAAGAATATTATTTAACTAAGGAAAAATACTGTTAATGACTCCTTATTCAAGGTTTGTACTTCCTTAAAAATGCTTGTGTCAATATCATTAGATCAGGGGTGTCAAACTGGCGGCCCATGGGCTGGCTGCGTCATGCCCAC